CGCTGGTGTAGTGACGAAGTCCACTCTGCTTGAATAAGTGTAGGGCTCACCTAGTGGTTTTCTCTGCCTTGATGTCACAATCATCTTCATGCCGTAAACTATACAGCAGGAGGTAGATGGATTGACCATGAGGGTGTAGGTCACAAAGTAGCGATGGTGATGTTCTTCCGTTGATCGTCACGGTATCTGATTTGTGGACATTCAACGACGCGAGGGGATGATTACAGTATGGCTGAGCAATGCCCCTCCTGTTCAGTGTGCCTCCATTGACAGGTGTGATATGACGGACCCATTCAGGCTCTCTCGGCTGCCGTTATGTTTTCTTACTTTCCTTTTGAGGCAATGTGTGCCATTTTTTGTTTTCCACCTTTTTCTTCCTGTTAACTTATTACTTCTTCAGTATCTTTTCCTGCTTTTCTTGTTTATACTGTTGTTGTTATTTTCGCCTTGTAGCAGCTGACGACATGCCAACCCGCTTTAAGAAGACTCGTCACCAGCGTGGTTCCACGTTCTGCGGCTATGGTCGCGTTGGCAAGCATCGCAAGCACCCCTCCGGGCGTGGTAACGCCGGTGGCCAGCACCACCACCGTATCAACTTTGACAAGTACCATCCCGGGTACTTTGGCAAGTGCGGCATGAACCACTACCACCTGAAGAAGAACGCGCTGTGGAAGCCGACGATCAACCTGAACAACATCACGAAGCTGATCGCTAAGGATGAGGCACTGAAGGCGAAGAAGGGAGAGGCTCTGCCCGTTATTGATCTGTTGGCCAACGGGTACTCGAAGCTGCTCGGCAATGGTCACCTGCAGGCCCCCTGCATCGTGAAGGCCCGCTGGGTGAGCAAGTTGGCCGACAAGAAGATCCGCAAGGCTGGCGGCGCTGTGGTGCTGCAGGCGTAATTTGTGTTGGTCGTCAACGAGCTGCTGATTTCATTTTTTTTTGTTTTTTACACCAGATGCTTGGTGATATTTAGTTCCTTCATTTTGGACGTTTTGTATTATTTATGATGATATGAGTGGATGAATTGCGTCTTTGGATTTACCACGGTGCTCTTCATGTTTGTTTGTTTTTTTTTGTCTGTGTGTGCTTGTTGTTTCCCTGCATGATTGTTTCTTCCGTTCTTTTCTTTTATTGCTGCTCGTATTGTTATGGGGGTGGGGTGGGTCTATGCATGATGTGATTGTGTGTGACACTCTTGTTCGACGCCGTCTAAATCGAGGGTGCGATCTGGGACGTTGGCAGGCTCTGAGTTAATGTCCACCGGGTCGTTATATGTTGGGAAGGCGGCAGGGACAATGGCTGAGAAGGAGGCCTTCGCAAAGTTATTTGGAATTCTAGAAGTAATACGTCGGGGCGGCATTTTGGCCTTTGCCGACCCCCAGGTGGCTGAAATGCATCGACATAGTGAGACACTTGCCGCCTTGGCAATACCGCCGTTTAGCACAACTGTGGGGGAGCTACTTGTGCGGAAAGTGTTTGAGGCCTTCGCGAACAGTAGCCTTGTGGAGTACCAACGAAATATGTGTGATGGGCATGAGATTTTGGCGTTGCAGTCGCTACACAAGGCATACAGTCAAACCTTGCTGCTCCTAAAGAAATGGTGCAAGAAACTACGCGCGACGGAGTTTGTTTCGGGCTTCACCGTGTCACTGCGTTGCCATCTGTTGCAACCTGATCTTCTCACAGGCGAGAATCCCCCTGGAAAAGAGGTACTGTTACAGTTTCTTCGTCGCCACGGACGTAAGGTGCTTGGTGACGTTGAGGGAATGGAGGGGCGTGTCACTCTCATGCGTGGGAGTCAGGGATACTGTGACAGAGTTCTGGAGTATCTGCATGACCTTACGCTATCATCAACACCGGACATCAAGGCGCTGTGGAAATCTGTCTTGGTTGAATGCACACGTGAACGTATTGAGTTGCTTGACGACGATCTAACCGTTCGTCAGATAAGATCTTGCATGCAATGGAAAGACAGTGTTGTGGACACCTTTGTTCGAATGGCGTTATCTCCAGACCCCAACAACTCGGATGGACGCACAGAGGTGAATCGGTGGTGCGAAGAGCTAGAGCAGCTCCTCCTTGTTAGTTACGGTCGCAAGCGGATCGCAAGTCTTTGGGATGTGGTGATGGTGTATCCTAGCTCAACCCCGACCCTAAAGGATCTGCGCGTGTGTCTCCGGCGGTGCGCTGACGACACTCTTCAGAACGAATTAGTACAAACAGCGAAGCAGATGTTGGCATCACAGCTTCATCGAGCTGGCACACGCACGGATGAAATTCTCACTACTCTGATTGGCACCATACATTCCCTGTGTGTCTTATTTTCCAAGAATGATCAGGGTTCTGTGATATTCACCATTGTTGATGACACACTTGAGCACCTCAAAAAACGAAAGGATTGCGTCTCTGCTGTGGTGCAAGCAATTACGCAACCGAGTGCGGATTCTGTTTTAAATGTGAGTATGCAGAACTTTTCACCAGACAGTTTTAGTTCGGCTTCCACTGGTGGTGATGAGGGAAGTGACGATGACTTGTCGCCCGGTACTAGCCAATCGTCCTTGTCTATGCATGAACGGCCTGATGTGCTGCGCGTATTGCTGTCTGCGATTAGTGTCACCTCACTTGTGGAGGAGTACATGAAGTTGCTGGCCTCCCAGTTGTTGGGGAAGGAAATGCACAATTTTGATACCACGGCGGAAGAAGAAGTGTTAGAGCGTCTAAAGTGCGCGTTCGGTGAAGATGTGCTGGCGCCCTGCGTCGTGATGATCCGCGACATTCAGGCATCGCGTCGCTATACGCTTCACATGAAAGAGGCACACCGAGAGGATGCCGCGGAGGCGGCAACCCAACAGCGAGGGAGGCAATGGCCGTTGAGTCTCAACATTCTCTCCACCACGTCATGGCCAAAGTTGTCTGTGTGTCTTCCCGCAGGTGAGACGCAGCCTGTGCCGGAGCGGTACAATCCCCACCCATTATTGACTTCCACCATGCAGGATGTCGCAGAGGAATACAAGCGCACGAAGGTGAATCAGCGTCTTGAGTGGATTCTCTCTCAGGGGTGTGTCAGCCTGGAGCTCACGCAAAAGGACACTTCCACGAATGCGATGGTTGCAGCGACATACGAGCTCTCGCTATTTTCCGCGTCGCTTGTATTATACGTTCGTGACATCTCGGCGGAGCGCGGCTCCCCTGCCCTCCTGACGACTGTAGCAGAACGCATGGGAGTAAAACCGCATGTGCTGCAGCAGCGTGTATCGCACCTTTTTCCATCGCTTCTTGTTTCTACCGACGGGAGCAGGAGTTTGTCCTTGCAGACAAATTACGTGTCGACGTCAAACTTTACCTTTGATGTGGCAGAAGAAAGTGAGGGGCAGCCCGCAGGTCTATCGCAGGATCAAGTAAACATATTGCGTTCAATGATGACAGCGATGCTAAAGGCGCGGGGCGCATGCGGGGTGAACGATATCTTCAACAGTATGAAAATGCTTGGTCAATTCCCTGGAACACTTGATGACATGAAGAAACTCCTGCGTATGTTTGTGACGCAGGGACAATTGAAGCTTAATGAGGCTGAACTTTTCACATTACCGACTAGCTGAGATACTTAGGTGCATACAAACACTTCGGAGAGGAAGAGATTGAAAGGCAACGGAAGAGGCCCTTCTTCCCTTCCTCTTCCTCTTTATTTATACGCACATGTGTGTGTGTGTGTGTGCGTGCGTGTGCTTGTTTGTTGTCTTTCTCTATCTCCAGCTACGTGCCAACAGCAGCATTGATTCTGATCATTGTTACCAAATTCTGCAGTCTTAATGCAGTGGCCTTCTCTCTCTCTTGTTTTTTGCGTTTTAATTATTATTATTTTTGTATAGCTGTTGTACCACTTTGCTTGACGCGAGGGCGGACTAAAAGATACATGAGATGAAGGACGCTCCATTGTTTGCCGTAGCACGGCAGCACTTTCTTCAGCATGGGTACGCCATTCTTCCTGCGGCGGTTGGGGCCTCTGTTGTTGAGCGGCTTCGACCTGCACTGACTGCATCCACCGTGGCTCGCGCCCGTTATTTACTAGAGGTTCCCGATATTGAGTCGATGCTAAAATCCAAGGCAAAACTCTCGGATCCTCTCTACACAAAAGTAATGGCGAGGTTGCAACGGCGAAAGTATATGCGGCATCTATACCACGCAGAAAAACGACAACGGAAACTTCTAACAGAGGTCGCCGCAAAGTTTTTGAATGGCCGGAAGAAGGAAGACCTTACAGGTGAGGAACTGTGGAAATTAAGTGAGATATTGGCAAGGGAGGTTGTAAAGATTTCAGGGAAGGGGTGCCAGTCGACGATTCAGAACGACCCTCAGATGCTGAGGGCCATCAACGAGTACCGCTGTAATGTCTGGATGACGAATAAAGAACTAGAAGGCATCGTGCGAGACTCTTCCTTTTGGGAACCTCTAGGTACTATTGCCACTAAAGTTGGTGGCGTTGGGAGGCCCGTTTTGTTTGCAGATGCGCCCATGTTTCGAGAACCGTACGGAGGTCCCTTTGGGTATCACTGCACTGCCCCATCGATTGGTGTGAAGGCGAACGGCAACCTGCCGACTGCTGTCTCGTTGCTTGTCTTTACTCACCACCCCGACAAGCAGACGATGCCTATGTTTGTCTTGAAGGGTTCCCACCGCTTCGTACAGGAGCAGTATTTGACCCAGGTTTCACCGGGTGATTTGTCGCTTCCATTTTTGCCAATGGAGTCACATATTCCAGAGCAGCTTCAGCGGTTTAAGTTTGACGACAGTGTTGTGGGGGGTCCCATCGAGGGAGGCGACGCAATTGGTCCCGGCACAGTTGTGGTGTTCCACCCGTGTCTCATGATTGGAATGGGTGCGAATGCCTCCACGGAGCGTGTGACTGTTTATAAGTTGAATTTAGTTGACGAAGACGCGCCGCCTTTTTTAAAAGCTCCCTCTTGGATCACTGCGTGGCGTTCCTTTCCGCGGGAGGTGAGTTTTGCATCCCCGGTGGTTTTTCCGCCATTTTTCGACAAAGGGATGGCAACCACTAGCACACAATGACGCATCTGCGCACAGGCGCGGACGCACAAACCGAGGAGTGACCTCTTGTGCTTTGAGATTTTGATATCCCCCCGAAATAAACGGTTTGTCGTATCGAGCACCCTTCTGGAAGTTCTCTTGTATACATTTTTTCTTATTGAATCCTTTGTTGCTCCTGGTTCTTGCCTGCCCACGTTGATGGAATCCAAATGTAGTGGATGGCCTCTCCCGCTATTGAAGATGCCTACAAAATTCTTTTGTTTTGCTTTCGTTTATTTGGCAATAGTTTTTTTTTTTGGCTTTGATGTTGGGGTCAGGGTTGCTTCGGCCGCCATCGTGTCCTAAGGTAGGAGAACCTTGAACAGGGTTCTTCATCCGGAAGTAAAGGGATGAATACAGAAAGAAAGAGCACACAGCAATGGGATGAGTTTTGTTGATTTGTCTGTCGTAGGGAAGAGATGCGTCCCTGGTTGCTTCTGCGTCTTGTTCGAAGCGTTCGGACGCTAATCGTCGGCAGCGAGGGGTTGGGGAGGCGTTTCCTACGGAAAGAGAGCGTTGCCAAGTCAATAGCAACAAAAAACAGGTGACCATGGCGGTGTGTGGAATGCGGCTTGCAGGAAACCGGAAAGGGCATGAGTAATTACGGGTACAGATGCAGTGAGTTGTTTGGGTGTGTGTGCATATTCGTGGAGTAAGTCTCGGAACTCAAAGTCTGGTGGCACCGGCTGCTTCGTTAAGGTAGAATAATTATTTTCATTTTTATTTGTGTGGGAACGGGCTCTGCCTCCTGCGTGGGCACCATTTTGTGTCACGGGGGTTGCATGCAAAAAAAAAAAAAAGACTCCAAAGCAAGTTGTTGTGACGAGACAAATTGACCACTGGTTTGTTTTGTAGTTTCTGTGGGAGGGAGGACCTACCAGTAAAGATGTGTACGGGGTGGTGTTGGGGGAAGGGTCAGTGCGCAATACAACAGGGTCTCTTTTTTTATCCGCCTGGCTTTATTTCGAGACAAATGTGGGCTTTGCGTGCATGCCCTCAAGTGGAGTTGTGACAGTCCGAAGGGGAGGTAAAGCCACATGGGAACTCCGTTGGGCTCTCTACCAGTTGTGAGTGATCACATAATTACAGTCAGGGTGTGTCTTTTTTGTATATGTATAATTATATATATGCTGGGGGTGTCGGAAGACATTCGTTCATTATTATGAACTTTGGCACTGGTTGAGGCGAACTTGGCATTGCGGAGAGCAATTGCGTGTAAGCAATCGGCGATGGGAGTTTCGTGCCTCCGTGTGGAGTAGAAACCACACATGGGAGCGTGCAGTCTGCATGCATCTTAGAATGAGATGGGGTGACAATAAAGGCAACATTTTTGCTTTGCTTTTGTGTCTGTGGATGTTTTTGGAGGTGAAGTACAGAGGGAGCCTTTATTAAGAAGAGTGAAGAGGGAATAGCGGTGTGCAGGATCATTTTCTGTACTGTTTCATTTTGGCGCCGGTATCACATTATTTTCCATAGAAAATAGACTAATTTTTTTAAAAATATATTTTTCCATGTGCATGGATGGCGATTTGAAGGAGTTGCAGAATCGTTTGAGTGAGGCAGAGGAACGCATCAAAAAAACGACGCGTTTGATGCTGCGTGCAGTGTGGCAGTACGTCACACAACACCATTCTTCCTCCATGGTGAGGAAGGGTTCTTCTGTAGCCGCTGCAGCAGCTCCGGCGCCTCACATGATGAAAGTTGCGATGCCGCATCCTCGACACCACCATGCATTACAACCCCGAAGGCAAGCTGGTGCTGCTACGGTCCAGCACAGAAAGGGTGCCGCAGGCGCGGCTGACCAAGCTCGACTGAGTCGGGAACTCTACCGGAAGGCGTTTGGAGAGGCACGTCAAGAGGCAGAGATGGGGACCGTGCGGCCAGCAGATCCGGTGGAGGAGACTGAGGGTGGCTCTATCCCATCCGTTGCTCTAGTGTTGTTGCAGTCGTCTCGAGAGAGAGCAATCATGTCTGCCTTTTTACTACGCCTTCGTGTGGCAGCCCATCGACGACGTTTTCTCTATGAGGAGTGTGAGCTTCGGTACACGTACTATCGTCTCCGTCGTGTGCTGCGGGCGTGGTTTGAATTTGTGCGGGAGGTCAATAGTAGGCGCCGAAGACTACTTTGTGGGGTCTTGGCTCACTGGGTTAGCATTGTGGAACGACGTCGACAGATGCAAGAATGTTTGCGTCGCTTTTGTGTGAATTTGGAGGGGAGACGTCGCGCATTTGCAGGTGTCCGACGGCGCAAATTGCGTCAGTGTTTCCTGCGCTGGCGTGAACGTTTAGATCTTCACCGCATCGTGGAAGGCATGGAAGAGCGGGCGACGGAGATGCGCAGGAGGCATAAGTACGTGAAGGTAGCTTCGGTCGGTCAGCCCACCGCTGTCTTCACGATCAAAGACCGCGTTTTTGCTCATTGGAAAAAAAAGACAGAACATCGGCTGGACACTCGACTGGCTGAGTGGGTGTCTAAACGTTTTTTAATGCGGCATGTGTGGAATGAACTGATCCGATGCTACGTGTCCGCCAGGCAACAGCGCACAGAATTGGAATCTACGTTACCATGTGGCCCGCCTACCGTCTACGTGGCGGCGCAGCGAGCTGAGTTCACGGTGTTTAAGGTTCGGTGTGCACAGCAGATTGCACGGGGGAGACTACGAAAAACAGCATTTGCACTATGGCGTGCTAAGTGTAGGAATCGGTTATCGGACCGCCTCTTCGTCTTTCACCGTCGTGTTCGCGTGATGAAGGCATGGTTGCAGGCGCTTAGACGAAAACGGGTCACTTCTTTTGTGACCGCGGCATGCTGGTGCCGATGGCGACAGCGTCTCTATTTGCGTTTGCAGAACACGCAGGCCCAGAGTTGGAGGCGACAGTGGCTGCAGCGAAGTGCTTTACGGCTGTGGCACAGCCAGGCTACCTGTAGTCTCTTTTACCGACAGCAAACCCTTCATGCGTGCTGCGCCAAGTGGTGGGGGCGTGCAAGGCTGCGGTGGGCACGGAGGCGACTGGCGCTAGGCATAAAGAGACGTGTGCTGTTGAGTTGGCGTGATGTGGTGGTGTGTGAGAACAACCAGCGGGCCCTGACATGTGTTGCGGAAACATTGCGTGAGCTCGTGCTTTTGATGGGATGTTTTCGGCGCTGGAGGGGGCGGTACGAGCACGCGTGTCGTGCACACCTTTCCGAGAGTATTTTGAGTGAGTTGCGACGTGAGAGGCAGCGGGCGCGGTTATTCCAGCGGTGGAAGCGTTTGACATTTTGGTCCCATGCGGCCTGTAAAGATCTCAAGCCGCCTAGTTGAGCAAACACACACACGCACACTCCTTGCTACCGCTGCGGCTGCTTCACTCATCGGCGCTCCCACAGTCCCCGCCGGCGCACTAATGAGAGAGTGTGGGAGGGATCAGCCGCGCCACAGTGAGAAGCATACGTTGCAAAATAAACATGAGAAGGGCCTCAGCAATGAGCCCCCCCTCCCCCCGCACACGTACACGTACACGTACACACACACACACACAATCGCCACTGCGGGAAGAGGGAGAAGAGTTCGGAAAAATGCAAAAATATTTCCTCTTTTTTTTTCTATTTGTTTACTTTTTTTTTCTCCCTCTCTGAGCTTAGCAAAGCAAAACAAATATAAAACGAAAATGTCAGGGCAAAACGGAGCTCATGAAATGCAGGTGGAGCTGGATCGCATGAACGCGGCCATTGAAGACTACGCCATCCAGCTTGATACCATCAACGGTGCAATTGCGTCCATTGAGAGCGAAAACCAAGACGACGATGTGACGCGTCAAATTGTCGAATACCAGGCGGCCTGTGAACGCGACCCCGCGAGTATTTTGGCTGAGGACGCGCTGGACACTATCACACGCCTGCAAAACACACTTAAGATTGCAAGGCGCCGCAACCAGCTCTTTGCTAAAGAGAACATGATGCAGCAAAAGCTTCTGGATGATCGCTCCAAGTTTTTGTTGAGGGAGACAAAGGACTACGACGCCCTGGTTGACAAGACGGGTTGGCACGAACACTACGCCATAAACGAGGAGGAAGAGGCGCAGAAGGCATCTGACGTCAAGGAGATGTCACAGCTTGAGGCAATTGTTAAGGGCGAGCTGCGTGCTGCGCATACGATCATCAAAAAGAAAGAGGTCATCCTGCGCGGTCTTGAGGAGAAGCTTCAAAGGCGCACAGACCTCGATGCTGCAATCAACGACGCCTACAATAACGTCCGTGTGAAACAACGTGACTGCCGTGAGCTGGAGCTCCGACTTGAGGAGCTGCGCAAACACAGTCAGAAGAACGACGAGGCCTTAACAGTGTGTGAAAGCCAGATGAGAAGTGTTTCCATAGAATACATGGAGACTGACAAGGCATTTCTTAAGGACGCCGTAGCGCAGATGAAGGCGGTCTGTCGGCGCCAAGATAACGTTATCAGAGCCCAACTTACACGTCAGCAACAACTGCATGCTCGCCTGGATACCATTATGCAATCCTTGCGGGAAATGAAGCTGGAGAAGGAATATGAACGCAACGTTTCCAAGACTGCGTTGGTGCCTTCTGCTTCACGTGAGGAGCCTGAAGATGTTTTAAGTATTTTACCGAAGGACGAGACGATTCCGATTTATACTTACCGCCTCGTTTACAAAAACAAAGAAATGATGAACGCTAACGTTCTTCGCAAAAACATGTTGGTGTTGGAGAAGGAGGGGGTGATTCACGCGATGGAGGCAAGTCTGATGAAGTACGTGAATGCGTTGAACATGACAACGAAGCAGCTGGAAGACCTGAAATTCAACAAGAGTTTTGAGATGAGTGAACTCATGGATGAACTTCAACAGCAGCACAAGAACTACTTGCATCAGCTGGAAATGAAAATGCAAGAAAACAATCAACTTAAGAAGCTTTTGTACCGGACGCCGCACTCACGCACTGGAATAAAACATCATTGAGAAACGAGAGAAAAAAAAAACGGAACTGCATCAAACGCATATACCTCGAATATGTACGCTTCTGTGGGAAGAGGAAAGAATTGGGTTACATGGACTTCCAATTGATCTATTTCTGTGCATTCCAGTCTGAAGACCAAAACGCATAAGAAGATCAACAACAATCATGCATATTATAAGATGGAAGGAGTGGGAGGGGAAAAAAGTAGTGGTGACATTCGGGACATGCACATCTGGCAAGAAAACACTTAAAGTGTCAGAAGGGGAAAAGAGGGAAGGAGTGAGAGAGCGATGAAAAAAAAAAAAAAGGAGGCAGAAACCAGCGAAGGATTAGGGGTGGAGCAAGTACGCGAGCGAGACAATTGATTACCGCTTTTCCTTTTTTGATACAAGCTGCATATCTACGTGCACATTTGCTGGCCGGATTCCATTTTTTTTTTTTTGCTGTTCCATAAGTAGTATTTTTTTCTGGTGCGTCTTTGTGACCCGTTTTTGGCTCTTCTTGTATGTTTGTAGGTGTCGGTTGCTGATGCCCCGCAACGGCAAACACGTGAAGGGGCTTTCTCTGTAATTGCCTGCATGGGGATGGAGTGGGGAATTTTGCTGGCTCTCCAACGGTGTCGTGTGGATTTGCTTCTTTCGTTTTGTACTTTGCATCGAAAGGCGTGACACGTAAATTTTGCTAGTATGACAACAACAAGACACAAGAAGTATGATT